AAAAGAAAGAAAGAAAACATGCCTCAGCTCCCGGCATACATACTGTTATGCCTACGCGCCCTATGGAGAAATGAGGCGATCTCATTATTTTAAGCCATCTTTTGCTGTTTTGACGAGTAAGATGCGTAACTTTGCAGTCTCTGAAACACAATATGCCTTAATCAAGTACATGCCCTTCATTCTTTTTTTTTTCTTTTCTTTTTTTGTTGTTGTTGAAAAACCAGTCTCCTTGCTCGGAGAGGTTCGCTCTTATGCCTGACCGCACACGACACCGTCCACGGATTTTTTTTCTTTTTTCTTTTTTTTTTTTAGACAAAACTTCCTCCAGTGCTAGCGGTACTGGTAAGAGCAGACACCGCTAGCACCCGGGGAAAGGCTCGATCTATTGGTGGGGAGCGTCACTTGCTGAAAAACGGGTCCAGCGTCCCTTGTACAAGGTGATTTGGAAAATAGTCAGAAAACGGGGACTGAGAAGATCCTGCCAGCATTGATTCAGAGGATTGACTGAGCGGGTTGTTTCAAAAATCTACAATGACACAACCCAAATAATCCCACACGTCACCCGCACTTCTTCTTTCCAGTGTTAACCGCGCATCGTCCCTTCCACTATAGATCGTGCTATCCTCTCTTCGCCAAAGAGCAGCGATCGAATCTTTAAAAAAAAAGCAAAGACCAGCAATCGAATCTTTTAAAAAAAGCAAACAGCAGCGATCAAATCTTTAAAAAAAAAGGGACACATCATCTCTACCAATCTAACTCCTGCAAACAAAAAAAAAAAAAAAAAAAAAAAAAAAAAAAAAAAAAAAAAAATCTATCTCCTGCAAACAGCTTACTCTGCTCTCCAAACATCCTCAGAAAATTAAATTCGTTCTGAAATTCTGAATAGAGAGCAGACAAGCCAAGGCTGGACTACCGTCTTCCCCCAAAAACATAACACAGCTCAAAGATGAATTTATACAAGCTATGTTTCCGGGCAGATACAGCCAAAATGAGGGTGTGTCGTGTTCGGGAGAAGACGGTAGCTGGCTTTCCTTTTAGGATATACCTACCTTGTGATGTACTTAGTCCCATACACAGTAAAACTGTAAAAGCATCATTATAGCTATAAATCAAACGTCGCTATAATTATGAACTTCAAAAATTTCACGCAAAGCCATCCTTCTCTCGTAGCTCTGCCAATCGTCAACTTTTCCCTTTTCCCCGATTTGAACGATTTCTGATCTAAACACAGTTGTGCAATCAGACTTTTGACTTCCACTTCACTTTCAACATGCATACATGCAGGTGCGATGGCAGAACAACTTCCTCCAAGTAGGATGAGCAACAAGAGTGAGAGATGGCGCAGGGCGCGCACACAGAAAACTCAGAGATATGGCCTTTGGCCAGGGACTCGGCTCAAATCAACTTGTCACATTGTGTGGCTATGGCGTCCGAGCACCAGTCTGACATTCTTACCTACACACTGTATCCACCATCAGACTCACACTCCACTCCCTCGCACGCGTACGTACGCACGTACGTACTTGGATCTACCCTGAAAGTCTACGCACATCACACACACCCACTACTGTTGTCGTCGACAAGGCTGGCGGCTACGGCGGCCGTCGTCTTCCTCCCCCTCTAGCGGCTATGGCCGCTGATGTCTTCCTCCTCTAGGCCACTGCATCACCGGGCTCCAGCAGACCTCCGATGCACAAGTCGCACAAGCAGCACTTCCACATGGCTCGCAGGCGAATGAATGAATGAATGAATGAATGAATGGCACTGCGTCTTTATTTATACTGTTTCGTATGGTGGTCTGTCCTGCCTACGGTCCCCAGTCTAAAGGTGTGTGCAGTCCCACTTGGTACTTGCTGACTAGACTAGGTAGACGGAGGACTGGGACTGTCCTTGCTGACTAGACTAGGACCAGACTGCCCTTCGCTGACTAAGCTGCGGACGACTGGCTCCTACAGCTTCAAAGAGCTAGGTAGCGACTTCTAGAAATTCTACTCACCCTTCGCTACTCTTAGGGCTACCCTGCAGGACTGCCCCTAGGACTGCTAACACTAAGGTCTACGGTTCAAGTCCACGTGACCTGCCTGTGTTGCACACAGCATACAGGCATACGTCTTTGGCAACAGGTCACAGGTTCGAAACCCACAGGGGTGACGGGTAACTGTACACGGGGTACGGGGTAGGTCTAGGGATCGAGCCCTGGGATCTGCAATTGTCCTGTGAAACCCTTTCAGTTGTACCCTTTGTCTTCATGGTTCATACCGGTGTACCCACCACCAGTCGCCCTTAAGGATAGAAGTATGCGGGAGGTTGGACAACAAAATTTCTTTAACGTCGAAGCTTGCGGCGATCGAGAATATCCTCATGAGAGAACCTACAGATCACAAAGAAATTTTTCCAAATAGAAAATAAAAACCACGATCGAAAAATAAAATTTCACTTTTTTCTTTCTTCTTGTTCTTTTTTGGCCCCGGCCAGGCAAGTGGTCCTGCCTGCACCACTCTGAATCTGGTAGCCTAACCCCCGCTTCGTCTTAATGCGCCGCGAGTGCCCTTCCTGTACGCTTTCTTTTCATTAAATTAATAAATTCATAATCCAGACCGAACAAATGAGTTCTAAAAGGTTGACGAGGGTCCACAGCAGACAGCAGGTTCGGCGGAAAACGGCTCACAAGACTTTCAATCTGGAGTGGCCATTAAAGTCCATGTGGGCACCAGCAACCAAGCAGTCGCTTTCTGCCGAATCTGTGGAAGGCTTCAAATAACTGTACCAGAGGAGAAGACAAAGCAGAAAGGTATGTGCTGCAGCCACGCAGGGGTCAATATTTTTTGGCAACTACAGAACAGAGGACGAGAAGAGCGATGACCACTCACAGAGAGAGAGAGAGAGAGAGAGAGAGAGAGAGAGAGAGAGAGNAGAGAGAGAGAGAGAGAGAGAGAGAGAGAGAGAGAGAGAGAGAGAGAGAGAGAGAGAGAGAGAGAGAGAGGGACGGAGGGAGTCCCAGGACCATCGGGAACGGCCAATTGGTCCCATGGGGCAAAATTCTGCCAAATTACGGAGCCTGCTCATAAAAAACTACGGGAAACGAGGTCAGGCATCTACAGCGTCGTCTTGCTGCATTTGATTTATCACTGTGCTCACTCTCCGCCTTTTCTTTCTTCTCTTGCTCTTCACCTTACGGCCACCCTTGAAACCACAGTCTTGGTGTCTTCGACTCCTCACTGGGCTCGGTACGATGTTCTCAATGTCAGCAAGAATTTCC